TGTAATCCCATACAGATAGCGTACTGGTCCAGGTCTGTGTGGTAACATATTCCAGTCTTGTTTTTAAATCTGTCCTGGAGCACTGCGTCTGTCCCCTCTGGCCACACTTTAATTGTCCTCACAGCAGTTTCACACGTTGATGAGTGTGAATACCGAGGTGTGAGGAACAGGGAGAGATGTCCGATGTCCAATGTGGGGAGGGTGTGGCTTTGTAGGCTCCAGCCAGGTGGAATACACATGGTCTAAAGTCTTGTCTCCTCTGGTGTGGCAGGAGACATGTTGTGGAATCTGGGAGGACTTCTTAAGTTGGTGTGTGAAGTCGCCAGCAACAATAAAAGCAGCCTCGGTGTTATTCTGGTGTTTGTTAATGGCTGCAGAAATTCTTTCATGGCCAACCTAGCATTAGCGTCGGGGTATACACGCAGTGAGTATGATCGAAGTGAATCTCTGGAGATAATAAGGTCTGCATTTGACCATTAAAAACTCCGCATTAGGTGAGCATGACTCTCAGTAGTAGTGGAGTTCATGCACCAAGCATTGTTAATATAAATGCACAAACCTCCACCTCTGGTCTTGCCGGAGTCATCTGCTAGCCTGTCGGCTCGGTGTGTGTGGCCTCTGCTAACTCGATAGCATTCCGGGCAGCTGTTGTTCAGCCATGTTTCGGTGAAAACATACATTGAGTCCATAATCCGTCTGTTGTTAGTGATGGAGAGCCGTATCTCAATCCATTTTGTTTGCCAGAGAACGGACATTGGCGAGAAAATACTGGTAAAGCAGCCGGTGTGTGTTAGCTTTAGCTTAGCCCGTAGCCCTCCGCGCCTACCTCGCCTTTGTTTACGATCTCGGCGCGTCTGCGTGCACTCCGCCCAGCCGGGGAGAGTGGCAGCCTCCGGTGTTCTGGAGATCTCTGGATGAGTCGAGATCGGCGATAAAACTGTTGAGTTGTGAGTCCAGATGTCCAGAAGCTCTTGTCTGGTAGGTCAGCAACGCACAGCAATTCTGGACGAATAAATCCGGTTAAAAGTAGTAAAAACCCTAAATACAATTCTGGAGAGACACTGAGCCTCGCGTTGTTCACGCGCCGCCATCTGTTTATGCTTTGATTAAGTCGGAGATCAGCCCTGTCTGCGAACGGAACTGGTCTTCCCACGCGTGTATTCATTAAAATCAATTGTCTGACCAAGCTCTTCTGGACCATGGTTGTGTTTACTCTCCTTCCTCAATATTTGAACCTTAACATGGGCCAGATGGATGGGCCCGTGGCTGGATTGGTAAAGGGCAGAGAGCTCCAGTCCGACAGCAAGGTGGAGGTGGAGTACTGGTTTGGGCTGGTATCATCAAAGATGAGCTTGTGGGGCCTTTTCGGGTTGAGGATGGAGTCAAGCTCAACTCCCAGTCCTACTGCCAGTTTCTGGAAGACACCTTCTTCAAGCAGTGGTACAGGAAGAAGTCTGCATCCTTCAAGAAAAACATGATTTCCATGCAGGACAATGCTCCATCACACGCGTCCAAGTACTCCACAGCGTGGCTGGCAAGAAAGGGTATAAAAGAAGAAAAACTAATGACATGGCCACCTTGTTCACCTGATCTGAACCCCATTGAGAACCTGTGGTCCATCATCAAATGTGAGATTTATGGTAAATGGCCTGCATTTGTATAGCGCTTTTCTAGTCCCTAAGGACCCCAAAGCGCTTCACACTACATTCAGTCATTCACCCATTCACACACACATTCACACGACTGGCAAGCTACATTGTAGCCACAGCTGCCCTGGGGCACACTGACAGAGGCGAGGCTGCCGGACACTGGCGCCACCGGGCCCTCTGACCACCACCAGTAGGCAAACATGGGGTTAGTATCTTGCCAAGGATATTTGGCATGCAGCCAGGATGCAGCCTGGATCAAACCACCGACCTTCTGATTAGTGGCTGACCTGCTCTGCCACCTGAGCTACAGCCATTTACAAGGAGGGAAAACAGTACACCTCTCTGAACAGTGTCTGGGAGGCTGTGGTTGCTGCTGCACGCAATGTTGATGGTGAACAGATCAAAACACTGACAGAATCCATGGATGGCAGGCTTTTGAGTGTCCTTGCAAAGAAAGGTGGCTATATTGGTCACTGATTTGTTGTTGTTCTGTTTTTGAATGTCAGAAATGTATATTTGTGAATGTGGAGATGTTATATTGGTTTCACTGGTAAAAATAAATAATTGAAATGGGTATATATTTGTTTTTGTTAAGTGCCTAATATTATGCACAGTAATAGTCACCTGCACACACAGATATCCCCTAAAATAGCTCAAACTAAAACAAAACTACTTCCAAAAACATTCAGCTTTGATATTAATGAGTTTTTTTGGGTTCATTGAGAACATGTTGTTGTTCAATAATAAATTATCCTCAGAAATACAACTTGCCTAATAATTCTGCACTCCCTGTAGATTTTCCAGTTAACAAAAAGATGGATATTTTGGCTCTTACTACGGCCAACGGTCCTGCTAAGACATTGGCGGAAAAAGAAACCCCCCTCCCTATGAAGAGTGGCTAAAGACAATGGCTAAGTTGCGTCTTACGAAAAAGGACTTATTATTAGACAAATGCATCAATATGATTGTATTGTCCCCCCTTACAAGCTGGCTTTCTGTAACTTGAAGAACAGAGGAGTAATGACAGAGTGGTGGTGTGGGAATTGTGTGCGAAGAAAGAATAGATAACTTCCCTTTGTTTAGTTTTTTGTTGTTGTTTTGTTTTTGTTTGTTTGTTTTTAAACTATTTATTTATGTAGTTATCCTTAAGCTCTGTTATTGAAGTTTAAAATGAAATAAATAAAAATTGTTGATGATAAAAAAGTTTAAACTTCAAAGCTCATGCATACATGCACATCCAGTGCTCAGTGTCTAATTGTGTGTTTGTTTGTCTTTTTGCAGTAGCGCAGTGAAAATTGGGCGGTGGATAAATAATGGAAAATAAAATTCAGACTACAGACAGCTTCAGTGAGTACACGTGGTGCACAAGGACCAAAGCTCACCTTCTCAACCTGGACAAAATGAATTATTTACACTGATACTGTAAACTTTGTTTGTGTGTCAGGTTTCCATACATCGGAACAGCTGCTGCATCTGTAATTCTGTCCGTCCGAGGAGAGTCCACACTCTAATCCTTGGCTCACCTATAATGACGCACAGTGCTGCACACAACTAGATCTGCAGCTTGTGAGAACAGCAGCACTCGCCTACATCCTGTTTTACAAATTAACGTAAGAAGACACAGCATCTCATCCTGAAGTGAGAGAATGGCACGCCAGCTGCAGCCTAATCCATCTCTCTTCTTTCTTTTTTCGGTGCCCAGACACCCTTCAGTTTCATCATTCATCCCTAACAATACAATGTAGAGTTGGATGGAGGATGAAACAGCAGAGAGCAAAAGAAACAGGTAAGAGCAGACAGGTATCAGAGTTAACAAAAACTTTTAAAGCCAGTGTAGCTTCTGTTTTGAACACATTTATTGATGACAATTTACATAAATAAGCAGTGTTTATACTGTTATCAGATGTGGAGTCTCACGAACCACTTTAATAGTGACTTGTGTCTCAAATACTGTTATTTGTCTTAGTTACAGATAGTGAAATAAAAATGGAACGAGAAGCGTAGGATTTTGAATTGATACCATTGGTGCATCTACTAAAGTTCTGGGTCAGTTTGAATATCAGTGACCTTGACCTTGAGTTCAAGTTTTCTGAAAATCTTGTGAATGCTACAACTCTGTGACGAGAAGTAAGTCTCCTAGGTCTTTAAATTTGTATATAGGTGAATCTAGTAGGAAGCTGAAGGGTTGCACTGCGGGCCATCTGTAGAGGTGTAGAGTCAACAACCTGTCTGTGAACGTGGACAAAACAAAAGAGATTGTTGACTTCAGGAGAGCACAGTGGGATCACTGCCCACTTAACATGAATGGATCCTCTGTGGAGGTCGTCAAGAGCACCAGATTCTTGGTGTCCACCTGGCGGAGAACCTCTCCTGCTCCCTCAACACCAGCTCCATAACCAAGAAGGCCAGCAGCGTCTCTACTTCAAGCAGAAGCTGAGGAAAGCCCATCTCCCACCATCCATTCTCACCACCTTTTACAGTGGGACTAACAAGAGCATCCTAAGTAGCTGCATCACTGTCTGGTATGGTAACTGCAGCGTATTAGATCGCAGTACCCTACAACGGATTGTGAGAGCAGCTGAGAAGATCATTGGAGTCCCTCTCCCCTCCTTATAACACCCGCTTGCTGGAGGACCCCACACAGCCTTCAAACACACTCTTCACCCTGCTGCCTTCTGGAAAGAGGTCCCAGAACATCCGGGCCCTCGCTACCAAACTACGGAAAAGTTTCTTCCCACAAGCCGTCAGACCCCTGAACACTCAGTGACTGCACTGGCACACGCACACCTTCACACATGTCACTACCAAGCACTTATCTGCAGTATCTCACACTCATACACATACATACAGACACCAAGTTACTTTTGCACAATACTCAGCATTTTGCACATTTCCATTGTCTTGTGTCTGTATCGTCCTGTTCTGTCTAGTTTTGCACTGTTTTGTCTTGTTTATTTTTGCAATTTATGCACACTGCACTTTATGTAGTCCTGGGTTTGTCCGTATATGTCATATATAGCACCAGGGTCTCGGAGGAACGCGGTCTCATTTCACTCTGTACAGTACCTCTGCACGTGGTTAAAATGACAATAAAAGCCACTTGACTTGACCTGTATTTTGTAGCAGTTGCTTGGAGACGAGCACCATACAGTTCAAATGAGCATACATTCCAAAATATGCAAATGAGCCCCATACATCATAATGCTGATGTTTGCTGTTCAGGGTATGAACGTTCTATGCTGAAAGTTTATAAATATACAACCTTTGACTGCTTGTTTTCAGTTGAACTTTTGCAAAGCTGAGGAGATTTTCGCTGCGATCTCATCAAGTCCAAAGATGTTTAAACTTCTTTTCACAGAAAGGTAAGTTTGAAGAGACTCGCAGCACATTTCTCTGAATGTTTTCTTATGGTAAATAAGCATTTTTGAAACTTTTAAGGAAGCTTCTTGGATGATTTCTGTAAAAACTGAATTTTGAATCCAAATGAAGGATATTGTATTTTCTTACCATATACTTTGTTTTATGCCATTACTGATGTTGCTTTTCTTGTTTCTAAACAGAAATCACACAAACAAAACGTGGCAGAGAAGGAAATTCCTTCTACGTCTCATCAGAGGTAAAGAAATGCGCCGCTCTTTAATGCTGCTGGAGATATTTATAGCAGTGGTTTAGTTGGAGCTCTTTTTCCTTTTTGGTGTTGTATTAATCTTTTTACTACTTCTAGTTGTCTATAATTTCTATTGTTAGATTGCGAAATGTGTAAATGTACAAAATACATGATTTTGTTCCATTACAGTTATTAATTTTTATCTGCAATCTCCAGCATGTACTCCTTGTTAAAAATTTCCACTTTGAAAAATAACATTTACACTTTTGTCCTCATCAGCATCCCGGATGCTTGTGTTGCTGAAAATGGTCAAAAGAAGAAGAGAAAATGGAGACACCTCTGCTGTTCCTCGGTTTGCTTTTACACGAAACATATGAAATGCACATTCTCTTTAAATTGCACTTGTTAATTTAAAGTGACTTTACTTTTTAATAAACTTATGTTTGTTCGTCCTCTGCAGCAAACTGACAGCGATGCAGAGGCAGAGAGCAACACTGTGAAGACACAAAAAAGTGTCGCTGGTTTCTTTTTAAATTCTGGAAGGTATGTTTTATGGAAAGAGTCACTGTCATCAAGCATTTACTCATCACAGTTAAATGCGAAGAATTAAGAGCAATTTAGCACATCCATGTCCTCAAATTAGGTTCAAAGATGTTTAAAGTTTTTTTTTTCACAGAAAGGTAAGTTTGAAGAGACTTGCAGGATGTTTCTCTAAATATTTTTATGGTAAATAAGCATTTTTGAATCTTTTAATGAAGCTTCATGGATGATTTCTGTAAAAACTGAATTTTGATCAGAACCAAATGAAGGATTTTGTATTTCATAGGACAAACTTTAAAACTCAATTTAAAGCATGAATAAATTGTTTTTAATTTATTTAAAGATATTCCTATATATCTGCTTCATGAGCTGACAGCTCACTGAAGTGATAAATAATATGAAATAATACCAAATTTTCTAACTGGACACTTTTCATGGAGAGACTCCCTTGGTATGTTTGTTTTATGCCATTACTGATGTTGTTTTCTTGTTTCTAAACAGAAATTACACAAACAAAACGTGGCAGAGAAGGAAATTCCTTCTACGTCTCATCAGAGGTAAAGAAATGCGCCGCTCTTTAATGCTGCTGGAGATATTTATAGCAGTGGTTTAGTTGGAGCTGTTTTATTTCCCTTTTATTGGCATTTTTCTTCCACCTTGTGTATTTACATCTTTTTACTACTTTTGGACGTCCTCCAAAATGTTTCAACTTCAAAGCTCATGCATACATGCGCATACACTGCTCAGAATCTTGACATCTTTCCTAATTTTGTGTTTGTGTTTTTACCTTTTTGGAGCAGTGTAGCATGCGGTGGGAAAAAAATAGAAAGTCAAACTGGGACTATAGACTGCTTCGGGTGAGTACACGTGGTGCACAAAGACTCACTTTGTCAAAGTGGAGAAAATGAATTATTTTACACTGATACTGTAAACGTTGCGCGTGTGTGTCAGGTTTCCAAACATCGGAAACACCTGCTACATGAACTCCTGCCTGCAGAGCCTCCTCAACATTGAGGAGTTCATAAGAGACATCAGGCGTCAGGGGTTTTGTGGAGCACAGATCCAGAAGCTCAGCTCTTAAGGTGCGCTACGTCAACCTTCTACTTTCTTCAAAAACCTGAAGAACAAAGAGATCTAACAGCAGAAATGTCTGTTTACCCTTCCTTTCTACAGAAGGCTTATTGATGTCAGGGACTGTCACGAGTCAACAGATTATGGCCTTAAAGATCACCACCTAAGAGCTTTTAAGAAGGCATTCAGCAGTCAAGCTCCTGAATACACCGGCAGTGCACAGAAAGTGCGTCAGCTATTTGGACATTTCGTTTTTTGCTTTACCTTCTGATTTTGATGTACTGTTTTAAATCTCTCTGCTTTTCTTTCAGGACGCTCATGAATTCCTAACATTATTCCTCGATGAGGTCAAAAGGCTCGCACCTCACCTGGAGAGGAACGCAGCTCTCCTGGGCCAAAGTTATAGCTGCCCAGTAGAAGACCATCACATTTTTAAAATGGAAAACATGAGGACATGCAAGAGGTAAGCCTGTCTTTCAGAAACGCAGAGCTGGTTGCAATATTTTCATATACCTCTTTTCCACGTACCTGATCTTTACTTTAACTACGTTACTCCTGAAATGTGTAGCTGCGGTCACCAATCATCACAGCAAGAGGAATTCACCAGCTTGTCTCTAGACCTTGTTCCAGAGGGTCTATTATAAACATGTTAGAGACATACTTGAAGGTAAGATCACAAATTCCAATAGAGTTGTCGTATCAGCGATCTTAACACACCTTTTTGTTAGTGTTTGTGTGCATGTGTGTGTGCATATGTTGAGATTTCTTTCTACCATAAAGCCTGTCTTCTCTGTGCTGTTGTCAGGAACAAGAAATAGAATTTCGCTGTGATTGTGGAGGGACGGCCTCAGAACTGAAGTCGTCTTTTGATACACTGCCAAGGTGAGTAAGGTCACATCAGAATTGATCGACTGACCAGGTTTCCAAACTGTGGCGCATCAAATATCAGAGTTCTTCGAGACAATACTTGAGCAGTCGTTTTCTCCCATCTTCTGTTTGTGTTTGACACTCATTCTTCTTATTTTCTACCTTGTTTGTGTTTTTTTCTTTTCTGCCAGAGTTCTGATCTTGCATCTGAAGAGGTTTGGCTTTACACAAACCTACAAGATTAAGAAGGTGGATGACCCCGTCAGGCTGCAGAGGGACTTGGTGGTGCCATCCAATCAGGTAAAAACAGACTGCAGAACGTCTCAGGCTACGTCCACACTAGCCCGGATAGATTTGAAAACTCCGTGTCCACACTGGCGTTTTCAGTCATTTTCAAATAGTTGTGCGTCTGCATTGAAACGGCCGAAAACGCTTACGTTCCAGTCCTGCGCATGCGCAAAAGTGAGTGAGAATTACAGAATTTGAAGAAAAGCTATCCGGAGCATGTACAAACTGATATTAATCTTTTTTAGGGCTGTCAAAGTTGAGAGCAATCAAAACAACTGCTGTCTAATGCACTCGGCTTATCTTTGTTTAATTGCTCACATGACTGCATCACATGACCAAAATGCGTCATCGTTTTAGAAAGTCTGCGTTTTCGAGTGTCCACACTGCGATGGGACAACTCCGTTTTGAAATGTATGCGTTTTCGAGAGCGTTTTTCCTTGAGGAAAACGCCGTCTCGGTGTGGACGGGAGGTCAAAGCGGAGAGAAAACGATGCGTTTTCAAACGAAAACGCATTAGTGTGGACGTAGCCTCAGCAAATCAGCTTAATTATGGCACTGATGTGCCACTTTATGAAACTAACACTCTTTGGATTTGTTCCTTCTCAGGGTGGTGGCTGTTATAGTCTTTGCAGCATCATCAGTCATTATGGAGGCACAGAGTCAGGTAAAACAACAGACTTGTGACAAACAGAAAATGAAACTTGCTACTTTTCAGTGAAGGACTCACACACAAAAGCTTTTGATGTTCTAAGAAGCACTAAGTCAAAATCACTGTTTGCTTGAATCAGTTGACTTCCAGAAGTTGGATTCATTTGTCTTAATGTGATTTCAGGACACTACATCTGTAGTTCTGTCCATCCTGAGGAGAGTCAGCACTCTACATCAGATCGCTGGCTCACCTATAATGACGCACAGGTGCTCCACACAACTGGATCTGCAGTTTGTGAGGAACAGCAGCAGTCGGCCTACATCCTGTTTTACAAGAGAAACGTAAGAAGACACAGCATCTCATCCTGAAGTGAGAGAATTTTTAAATGTCCTGTTACCTTGTTAACCAGTTTTGTCTTCATTCTCAGTTCTGAAACAGGAAATGGAAGGAAGGAAGGAAGTTAAGGTCATCATCATGCTGAGAAGGAAAAGCAGTCGTCCCAGCCCACCATCGCACACTGGAGGACAAGTATAGGTAAGTATTGCCCTCAGGAGGGAGGGTCCTGCCAGAGAGCCTGGTCCTCCCAAGATTTCTTCCTCCAGGAGGGAGTTTTTTCTTGCCACCGTCGCCCCACATTCACTGGTCTCATCAGCAGGGACATTTTTAACCTCCTAAGACCTGAACTTTCATGGCATGCATTTTTAATTCCTCTGTGCCATTTAGGTTGATTGGGACCCGATGAAGGTAAAAACCAAGACATCAGATTCAGACTATCTTTTTTTTGTTTCTCAAAAGAATGAGATCCACATATGAGGACATTCATTTTAAATTTCGATTGAACAGTGGCAGTGTCATGTCCTCCCTCATAAGTGGATATCAGGTTTTTGAAGAGCAAAATTTTGTATTTTGGTCTAGACAACCCAAAATGTTATGTCTACATATGTGGACACCAGGTCCTAGGAGGTTAAAACAAAATCTACTAGAGATCGTCCTTTTCTGGACCAGTGTTTGGCTTGCTCTCTGGGAACAACAAATTAGTGCTGTCAGCGTTAACGTCATTAGGTAAAATGACGTTAACACTGACAGCACTAATTTGTTGTTATTATTATTAATATTATTATTAATTTATTTGTAAAATAAATTAAATAAAAAAAACCAAAGAAATGATTTAATTCTTTATGTTATTTTGTTTTATTAAAATCAAAATAACAACAAAAACAAAAATAACTAATAAAAAAATATTAAAAGTATTCAGCAGTGTTTTGTGAATCTTGTAATGAGCCTTAGTTAAGTTGATGTCACAGAAGTTTCTGAATCATTTAGATTGTTCAACAAACTGATTCACTCAGGTAAAGATGGTGAGCTGGAGCAATGGTACCCTTGGAGTTCAGTTTAAGTTTTCAGACAAATATTCCCTCGATCAGTTGCAGCTTCTGCTTTTAAATAAATGATTTAGCTGCAAATGTTTAGCTACAGGTAGCAAAGTCCAAAAGTGACACCAGCCAAACATGCAAAAAATGCAAGATGGTGGTGCGCACAGATACAGCGGCTCTATGCTCTCCACTTACCCAATTTCACTGTGCAAGAAACTGCACAATGACAATAAAAAGCTCTAAGTCTAAAACAGTTTCCTGTCCAGTAAAATCGGGCAATTATTCGCTCCAGAGTTTTATCCTACTCCAGGTGAGCAGCCATCGACTTGTAATGAGCCAGCTAAAACAATAATTTCTCAGTGGCTCTTCTGGCACCAACAAGTGGGTGTGTTCTTCCATCGTGCAAGTGTCACGACACACTGAACATGGTCTGAACATGGATTTTCCCTCGATATGTCTTTTCCACCAGTACTATGGGGTATTTGTGAATATCCATGACTGACCCGGCCAGGTGGCCAGCTGGTCTTTGGACAGGGTCACGGCAGTTTCAAGGTTCAACAAAATCCCTTTCACTGACAGACTGAAGGAAAGCTCCTCAAAAATGGAGGGTCTTCAAGCTCCTCAGTGGCAGGAAAAGGTTTCCCGGACCCAGTGTTGTATATTTGTTTCCCAAAAGATTGAACTAGTGGAGAGAAATCAGGTTCTGAAACCATCCAGAAGACAAAGTCTCCAACTGGTTTGTGGAAGTCCCGTTTCTCCAAATTAATCAGCGGGTGAAATGTCTCTTCATGGATGGTTTTGATTCTGTTGTTATTCACGAACAAAGCCGTCAAAGCAGCATATGAAAGAAAGTCATCTTTCATTGTTGTCTCCAGCGTGTTAAAAGAGAGATCGAGCTCAGTGATGAGTTTTGAAGCGGCTGCAGGGACTTCTCCAAGGTTTTGGCTCGAACAGTCGAAGGATGTTGTTCACAGTGGTGACACTGTTGACTGGTGATTGACAAGCACTGAGATACTAACATGACAAACACAAGAAACATCATGACTTATTCTCCTGAGTGCCTGCAAAACACAAACACAAAATCAAACTCAAAGCTTTTCTCTCAGATGCTGGTGTGGCACAATCTAATGATAAAAAAGGTCATGCTAACAGCTTTTGGAGCACAGCTGCACAAAATAACAGCTTTTGGAGCACAAAATGCATTACAGGTAAACCCAGTACCCAAACATGTTAACAAGGATAAAGAAAAATCTGAAACAAAAGCAGGTAGTGTGGTGATTTATGTTGTGAGGATGCTTTCACTCCCATCAAAGTCACCCAGTGTTGAGAACCCAAATGAGCCCAAAAACCTCAAGTGGCTGCAACCAACAGCGAACGTCAAGAAGTGGATACTTGCATGTTGAGCCAGAAACATGCAGAAAACCCAAAAGAGGCAAGACAGCACATCTTGGTCCCACTCAGGCAGTACGAACACCTGGAAAGAGGAGCCCACAGTTCAGACCCAAGGGCACTGGTAAGGACACCAGCCAGTTATAAGTCTAGTTTTAATTTTCATTTTAGTGTTATGGCCTTTCTAAGGGTGGCCAGACCATAATATAAGGGTGATCCACCCCTGTCTGACCCCAAGCAGCACATCACACAACCAGTACAATTTTGATGGTGATTTTTTTCACAGTGATTGAATTCTAACAAAGGAAAGGAGCGAACTATAGCTTCGGGTGGACCCCAAAACAACAAACAAAAGGGACCGTATCTAAAGGATGTACAAAACTTATTTATGAAAAGAATAAAACCAAATGACAATGTCTTATCTCCCTAACTAAGAAAAACATGAGAAAAGGGTAATCAAATAAAAAGGCAGTCCACCCCTACATGCTCCTGTATAAAGAGACGGGTAACACAAAGCCTGCAGGTTGAGGTCCATGGCGGTGTCATCTTATATGTTGTCTCCAGGTCAAGGAGACAACATATAACATGGATAGACACAGATTTCAAAATAGCCAGCTGGAATGTTAAGGGTTGAATAACGGATTAAGAGGAAGAAAATATTAACATATCTAAAGTTATCAAGAGTTGATATAGCCTTTATTCAAGAAATGCACACGTGTAAGTCAGAAGCCTTAAAACTTAAATGTTCCTGGGTAGGTAAAGTCTTTTCCAGTCCTGGAACTGGTAAAAGTAGGGGAGTGTCGGTTCTGATTCATAAAGCAGTTAGCTTTACTGAAACAAAAGTAATAACAGATAAGGAAGGTAGATTTATATTGGTTTATGGACAACTACTGGACACACCAATAATTTTATGTAATATCTATGCACCTAATGCGGACATACTCGCCTTTTTTCACAACCTGTCACAGTATCTTTTGGAATTAGAAGGTGCACAAATAGTGGTAGGAGGAGATTTTAATCATATACTGGATCAAGACCTAGATAGATCACTTCCTAGGAGAGGCACAGAGAGTAAATCTGTAGTTGCCATAAGGCAGATGACCTCAGATTTAGGTCTGAATGATATTTGGTGGACAATGCATCCAGAAGGCAGGGAATATTCCTTTTACTCTCCGCCTCATAATGTTTATACTAGAATCGACTACTTTCTTATTTCTGAAGCCTTAGTGAATAACTCTATAGATTCAAGTATTGGTAATATAGTATTCTCGGACCATGTGCCAATTTTTCTATGTCTTGGAAATATTTTACAGATTCCTCAAAGCCGCAGATGGCATTTAAATGTGTCCTTAATTAACCCTTTAAGACCTACCATAGAACCAAGTCCGCCAGAGCTTATATTATATTTTTTCATGCTGTGGAGCCATTTTTGGGAGCAAGTTGCTATACATCAATACAACCATTATAGCCCAAGCTTTAATAATATGTCTGCATTAGGTGCACAGTAATTACACAAATAGCAAAAAAGTGCAATAAACTACAAAAAAATTGAAAATTGTTTTTGTTTTTTTAACATATTTCTAGTCAGAGAAATTTAAGAGGTTTATCCCTCAAAACTGTAAATACAAAAAAGTTGCACAAACTAGTTTCCCACCACAGGAAATTTATTTTAAGTGTCTTCATAGTTTTATTTTTGAAATACACCAATTTTTATACACTGCAGGAAAAACGAAAATAAATTTTATAATGCAAATTTGCAAAATAACAGCATGTGCATCAAAATAAACTATTTCCAGCAGTGCAATATGAGTCCTAAGCATCCCAGAAACGACACAGAAAGTCATAAACTCAAACATAACTTTTAAAAACACAAATATAGGCTCATAAGGCCCCGATCGTAAAAAACTACATTTCCGCAAAATGACGTCTCTTCCGGTTTCGGGCAGGTCATGGCGGACATGCGACAGTTCACGCTGATGGACGTAGGAAGTGTTACAAACAGCTGATCGGATCGGCAAAGCGTGTTTCTGGAATATTATGTTTTTGTTGCTGCAAGTGCTTTTTATGCAGTTTCTGCAAAGCTATATGTGGAAGGAAACTGTGACCTAGGACAAGCTGATGGCATAAGATGTAAGTACAACTCCTCTGGTTTCATATGTAAAAAAAATTATTGCGTTAGCTTACGTGGTTGCAGTGCTACCGGGATTTAAAAATAGTTACGCAAAATGGAGCATGTCCGCTCTGACCGGCTTTAACCCTTGTGCTCCTCTTCGGGGCAGCCCCAGACCCCGGGGGTCCCAAAGTACCCCACCCTCAGTAGAGACAGGTGAATGAAAATGAAAAAAAAACCAGAACGATCATTTGGGGTCGAAGAGTGCCCCAGAGCGATTCTAATGGGTTCGTCAGGGGATCGGGAAAGAAAATGTAGCACTTGGGGGCCACGCACAGAAGCTGCTGCGGCAGCGTGGGGGTCATTGATACCCCAGTACATAAAAATGAAGCATAATCACAATAATGATAATAATAAGAAGAAGAAGAAGAAGAATACAACACACAGACGCTTCTGAGTTTTATTTTATTTGAAATTACACTCACGATACAACTGAGGCAATCTGGAAGGCCATACCTTTTAGGGACATGCGCAATAGGGAGGGTGCGTTTTTAAAATGCCCCCCCTCCCCCCCGGGGCTGTATTTTTGATTACAATATCAACAAACTGTCCGTGTTTCAGGTGCTCGGTGCTGTACAGCGCCTTCGGTGGCTGTGAATACATGATCAGGAGACGTTGAATGGAAGGAATGAAACGCGGCATGAGGAGTCTTTTCCTGATGCTGTAATAATGTTCAGCGTAAAAGTCATCCTCCAAGTGTCACAGCGGGATGGAACGGACACACGCGCAGGCTCTGAGTTGGGAAACACAAGAATCTTTATTACAGCACACCAGGTGATCTATTTACAGAGGTGAGGGGGAAGGCGGGCTCCGGGGGTCCACACACAAAGGGAAAAGACGCTGAAAGTCCACACGCACTCCGTCCACTCCTCACGCTCCTCTCCACACTCCACAGAAAACACGATGACGTACTCCACTCCTCGTACACTCAATCACTCAGGAAACACAGGGGTTGGTCCAGGGAATGCGGATCGGCAACGGTCCAGCGACGAGAAACACAGAGCTGCCGTCTTATAAAGGAGCTGGAACACTCTCGTAACGAGCCACAGGTGCGTGATGGCGACCAGGTGCATGGACCAAGGGCAGAAGCCCACAGGTGAGCTCCGC